CTAAAGTTATATATAATTTTCCCTTTTAATTGTTTCTATTGGTATAGGATCAGTAATGATCCCTCCCTTTTAATTCTTGACTTTAGTCATTTTTGTCTTCCTTCTTATTTTCTTGGTTTGTCTAGCTAAGAATTTGCCATTTTGTTAATCTTTTCAAAGAACTAGCTTTTGATTTCATTGATTTTTCTCCATATTTCCCCTGTTTTCTGTTGCACTGATTCTGTAATCTTTATTATTTTCTTACTTCTCCTTGCTTTGTGTTTAGTGTGCTCTTTTTCTAGTTTCCTAAATTGGAAGCTCAAGTTATAGCTTTGAAACCATTCCTCCTTTCTGATATAGGTGTTTAAAGCTCTATGCATTGTTTTATCTCTATCCAGAAATGTTATGTTGTGTTTTCATTTTTATTTAGTTCAGAATATTTTTAAATTTCATTTGGAAGTTCTTTGACCTATGGGTTATTTAGAAATGTGTTTGTTTAATATCCAGATATTTATATTTTCCCAGATTTCTTCTAGTTGTAGATCCCTAATGTGATTCCATTGTGTTCAGAGAAATACTTTGCATATTTTCAGACTTTAAAAACTTTTTGAAACATACTCCTACCATGGAGCCCTCACTCCAATATCAGGATGATAGATTACCTCTTTCTATAAGTCTTCTATCAAATGTTACCTTCTCAATGAGACCTACTCAGACCAACATTAAAATTGCCACCAACCCTACCACCACCCCCCAATCCTTCCAATTATCCCTTATCCTGCTGTAGTTTTTCTTTTTCACAGCACTCATAACCTTCTAGCATACCATATAATTCACTTAGTTCTTTGAAGATAGCAATCTTTGTATTATTTATCAATGTTTCCCAAGAACCTGGAATAGTACCTGGATCAGAATGGCCGCTGAATAAATACTTTTGAATATATACATTAGTGTATTCATCTACTTGATCATATGTAGCCAAAATTTGCTGGCTTTTGTTGTAATATAGGATTTTATTATATAAACTTGCTACAGTTTTATAATTGATTCTTCTTAGATGGACATTTATATTTTTGCTAGTTTCAGGCTATTATAAATAGTACTGATCTAAATATTCTTATTGTACCCTGGTGCACTATGCTTATATTCTTCTAGGGTATATATGTAGGAGTGGAATTGATGGGTCATATTATGAGCATATTCAGTGTCAGTAGATAATGTTATAGTGATTTGCACATTCCTACCAGCAATGTATTTGCTCCACAACCTCACTGACATATGGTATTGGTATTTTTTTTTTTGCCAATATGGTATTCCCTTCTTAATTAGTATTTCCATGAATTATGATATTGAGCACTTTCCTTGTATTTATTAGCCAATGTATTTCCTCTTTTGCAAGGCACCTTTTTCTGTCTTTTGCCCATTTTCCTAGTGATTCTCTTCTTTATCAGTTATTTGTACAACAAATATCTTTCCCCATTCTGTGAGTTTTTTCTTTGGGATCTTTTTAATGAACAGAAGCTTTTAATTTTAATGTATCTGAATTTGTCAATGTATTCCTTAATAGTTACTGCTTTTTAGATCTTAAGAAATCCTTCCATAAATATTCTTATACCTTGCTGGTGGAAATGCAGAATAATACAATTCTTACAGAATGAAATTTAGAAAAACATAGAGAAAAATTTGTTATACATTTGCCCTATATCTCAGCAGTGCCAGTTCTTGGAACCTATTTTAAAGATATACTGAGAAAATACAAAATCCTGTATGCACAGGCTGTTTGTCAGGGAATTAGTCACAGTAGCAGTAAAGACTGGAAACAACACCAGGGTGCATCAAGTAGGGGAGTAGTTGAATAAACTCTTGTACATCCACACAGTGAAGTACTGTGCAACTATAAGAAGGAAAGGGAAGAGCTCTATACATTAACATGGAATTATTGCCAGAATATATTGTTAAGTGCAAGAACTTAAGTGTTAAGTAAGTTGTAGAACAGTGTTTATAGTAAGTTACCTTTTATATAGGAGAAGGGGATATACTGAATTATATATATATATATATATATATATATATATGAAGGAAATGGCAACCTACTCCAGTATTCTTACTTGGGAAATCCCATGGACAGAGGAGCCTGATGGGCTACAGTTCATGGGGTCACAAAAGAGTTGGACATGACTGACCAACTAAACAAAAACATAAACACACACACGTGTGTGTGTGCATGTGTTATGTGTTTGTGCCTATTTACTTATATTTCAAAAAAGAAGCAATGGAACCATAAAGCCAAAACTAGTAAAATTATTATTTATGGAGAAGGAAAGGAGTGGGATGAGGTTTACAGAGATGGAAAGCAAGACTTCTTTGAAGGTACTGTATAATACAGTTTTCACTTTAGTGAAGTGAAAGTGAAAGTTGCTCAGTCATGTCTCTTTGTGACCCCATGGACTATACAGTCCATGGAATTCTTCAGGCCAGAATACTGGAGTGGGTAGTCTTTCCCTTCTCCAGGGGATCTTCACAACCCAGGAACCGAACCCAGGTCTCCCGCATTGCAGGTGAATTCTTTACCACCTAAGCCAGAAGGCAAGCCCAAGAATACTGGAGTGGGTAACCTATCCCTTCTCCAGCAGTTCTTCCCGACCCAGGAATCAAACTGGGTCTCCTGCGTTGCAGGCAGATTCTTTACCAACTGAGCTATGAGGGAAGCCCTCGTTTTCATTTTAGACCCATGTAAATGTTTTGCATAATTTTAAAAATTAATCAAAAGGGAAAAAATAAATCCCTGAAATTTATAAACAGCCTGAAGCAAATTAGCCTAACTATGAATAAAGTTGGTATCATAACCATACAGAGAAAATAGTTATGTAAAATGATTTAAAATAATATTTTCATATTCCTAATGGGATATAATTTAAAGGACAAAAGTAACTGCAAAGAATTTTAAAACTGTATTCAGTAGTTTTATTGTTGATAATCATGTTAGTATTGTTATTGACATTTTAAAATTCTATATATTGTAGGAAAAAGCTAATAGATAATTTTGTTAATATCATTACGAGCCAGAATCCTAAGCACATGTGAGAGAAATACGAGTCAAAAATCATGGACTTAAAAAAAAAATCATGGACTTAAGTAATAATCTTGTAATCTTTTTGAAGTGAAAATACCAGTACAAATTTATAATTTATTTTTCATAAAAATTTTCCTACCTTTGTTCACTGAAAAAGGCCTAGAAGCAACAACAGCTCAACATTTATGAACAGATTTAGCAACATATTGTTGTTTCTAAATAGTATTTCACATTAACAGGAGCCAGTGGTCCTTAGAGAAATATTTCAGGTTTGAGTCAGGAAATATGCAAGATGAACTTAAGATATCTTGCTATGCCAGAAAACTAGAAAGCAGTACAGGAGTCAATTTTAAGGGACTTTCACTGATCCTAGGGCTTCCCCAGTAGCTCAGTGGTAAACAATCTGCCTGCAATGCAGGAGCCTCAGGAGACATGTGTTCAATCCCTGGGTGGAGAAGATTCCCTGGAGGAGGGCATGGCAACCCACTCCAGTAGTCTCGCCTGGAGAATCCCCGTGGACAGAGGAGCCTGGCAGGCTACATTCCAGAGGGTTGTAAAGAGTTAGACACAACTGAAGCAACTTTGCACGCATGCACTGATCCTAAGTGGAATAACTTGATCACTAAAAAGAATTACTACATTTAATTGAAACACATCAAATATATGAAAATACATGTCTTACAATTATACTAAAAATAATCATTGGTCATCATTGGACACTTTTAAAGTACCAACTCATTAAACTCTTATAGTTGAAAAATAATGGGAAACAAATCAAGCATTTGTCCTACTTTTCCTGTATGAACTTATGTAGGGAAACCAAATAGTTGATGACGGTAAGTCCATTATAGGATTCCAAATAATTAATACAAAAGAATAATAGAAATAATAAGTACAAAATAAATAATAGAATTAGGGGAGCTCCACTTTACAACTCTTAATAAATTAATGGATATAAGCAATGGTCATCAATGGATGCAAACCCTTTAGTTAAAAAGCAAATGGGAAAACTTCATAATGGAAGGATCAGACCAAAAACACCTGAATCTACTGATCAGTTTTAACATCACTAGAAATGGGACCACTGAACATTATGTGCCTAATGATATGATGTAATAGGAAATATACAGCTATATAATATATGGAGGATTCTTGCCTAAAAATATTGAACTCAAATCTAGATCAGCAATATCCAATACAACTTTTTACAATAATGTAAATGGTCTTTATTCTGCCCAGAATGACATCTAGTAGCCACATGTGCTTGTTGAACATTTGATATTCATAGTTTAACAGAGGAACTAACATTTAAAAAATTTATTTAAATAGACTCATGTGGCTAGTAGCCACATGGTAGCATAGCTCTAGATTTGACTACCAGTTTGTAAGAAATAGAGGGGATTCAGGAACAGGTTAAATAATATCATGAGGAACAACTAATTAAATTCATTTGTTCTGATTCAAATGATGTGGCTTCTCTAATGAATAAATGGGATTGGGGGAGAAAAAGATTTGAGGGCTGAGAAAGAAGGGAAGCTGTGTGTGTGTGTTTGTGTTTTTTTAATGAGGCTTTAAAGACATAACAGCTAATGGCTGCTTTAGATCTTGAACCAAGTGTAAAAAGACATCTTTGAGAAAATCAGGGCCATTTGAATATGAATTTAGTAGTAGATAATGGTAAGGAATTATTATTAATTTTGTGAAGTGTGATAATGCCATACTAGTTACATTTTTTCAAATGCCTTTATCAGTTAGATGCATGTACTTGCATGACCCTGAGAGTGAGCACCTCAAATTTTGGACCCCAGATGCCTCACTTGCCTCACCATAGTCCCGGGCTTGCCCAAGATGCACTGTAATAACATAGCTATATATTATTGTCATTTTTCACAGGTTGTAAATACCTGCCCCAGCAGAGTTTCATTATCTGAGATTCAAGATTTAATTTTTATTAATTTGTCAAAGGTTGTTTTGGTAGGCTTTGTAGAACTTCCGTATCTCTTTGTCTTGATCCAGATGAACCCCAAAAGAAGAACAAAGGTGATCCCATGAACAAGCTGGAAAGTTTTTACCAAGAGATGATAATGAAAAAGCGTCTTGAAGAGTTCCAACTAATGAGAGGTGAACCCTTTGCTTCCCACTCACTGGTCTCAGCTACATCAGTGGGAGATAGTGGCACAGCTGAGAACCCGTCATTACTCCAGGACAAGGGAAAACAGGCAGCACAGGGTAAAGGTCCCAGTCTCCATGTGGCAAAAGTTATTGATAATTCACCTGAGCAGTGTTGGACTGGGCCTAAGAAGCTGACGCAGCCAATAGAATTTGTCCCAGAAGATGAGATCCAGAGAAATCGTTTGTCAGAGGAAGAGATCCGAAAAATTCCTATGTTTTCTTCATATAATCCAGGGGAGCCAAACAAGGTATAGGCCAAACCAAGAAAAAAAAAATGGGTTGTTTTCATTTTTATTTACCTCTACTTAAAGTAATACTTTTGTATTAACTTTGATTATACCAAAGAATCATGACATTGGCACAATGATTGCATTTTTCTTTGACCTTTACTATTAATTCTCTGCTATATAAGTAGCTCTGACTATATAAGTAGCATATTTCCTAGGATGTTCATTGTGGTTTTCTAACGTCATAAGCTATCCTTAGAATTTTGTTTAAAAAACAAGAATTTTAAAGAAATCTTGATCAGACTGTAGCCCATGCCCACTAGAAACCCTCAACTAAAGAAAAATTCATAGGCCCGCCATATCTAGTAGCCATGTGCCTGGTCGTGAGTAGGGTTTGCTGTTACCACATGAGTTTTCTCTTCAGAATGCTCCACCTGGCTTTCATATGACATATGACTTAAATTGCTGGTAGCTTAGCAGCAAAATGAAAGCACAGGGCCTCTAAGCCTTGAGGAATTGGCGAATATCTAAGAAAAGTTGTAAATAATCCTTGTTTTGTTGTTCAGATTATTATGTCATGGTATGTGTTACATCCAGAATTGAAAATTTCATTATCATGTCACTCAAAAAAGCAGCACAAGACCCTGGAACATATACTTGTGTTCAATTTAAAAAACAAAACCAGAAAAATAATGTTAGGTCCTGGGTGTCCCTAAATTTTTAGAAAGGTGTTGTCGAGGATTATTAAGCAGTTTCCTTTGACTGATTACATTTCTAATATATTCTTGATGTTCAAGGGTAGCTGAATTTTTATTTTTTATTAAAATTATTAACTATGAAAAGTTAACAGAGAATAATATAGCAAGAACCTTTGTACCTAACCAACTTTCTTTACCAATCCTTGCCTTTTTTTTTTCCCCTTGACCACGCCACACAACTTGTGGGATCTTAGTTCTCTGACCAGTATTGAACCCAGGCCCTTGGCAGTGAGAGTGTGGAACCCTAACCACTGGATTGCCGGGGAATTCCCTATCAATTCTTAACAGTTTTCATATTTGGTTGATTTTTTAAAAATAAGGCCTTACAGAGACACCTGGAAACTTTCATGTATCCCTCACTGCTCCTATTCCCCTTTCTCTTTTCCAGTGGTAACCACCATCCTGTGTTTGCCATTTATCATTCCCACGCATGTTTTATACTTTTACTATAAATCTGCATATTCATAAACAACATGTAATTTTATTTCTTTTTAAACTATATAGATGATATCATACTCTACATCCTTCTACAACTTGCTTTTTGACTCAATATACATGTTTTTAAAATTTATTTCTAAAGATATAAGGAACTGTGTAGTATTCCTTTGTAGAAAGATACTATAATTCATTTATCCATTCTCCTGAAGATTTTTTTTTCTTTTTTTCCATTATAGACAGTTCTGCAACAAATACTATTGTACACATCTCCTGTTGCACATGTACAGGAGTTTCTCTAGAACAGTTTTTCAAACTTTAGGTTACTATTAGTAGGTCACAAGCAGCAGTATTTTAAAGAAATAGAAAATATCAAAGTGCATTCCATAGAGTAGTAAGGATAATTATTGTTTTTTGAAGCTTTTGTTTATTGTGCTTTTGTGTGTGATATGTGTGTGGGCCAGAATATAAAATGCATTTCTTCCTATAGATCTCAGTCAAAAGGGCCAGAAAAAACATTGCTCTATTGCAGTGATTCTCAAACGTTAGCATGTACCAGAATCCTCTGGAAGGCTTGTTAAAACACAGATTGCTGGGTTCTGCCCCTAGAATTTTTTGTCATGTACATCTGGAGTAGGACCTGAGAATTTGCATTTCCAAGTTCCCTGGAGATACTGATGATGATGCTGGTCTGAGTGACGTTTTAAGAATCACTGTTCTAGATTATATATCTAGGAGTGGAATTACTGTAATATAGGATACGTATATTTTCACCTCCATGAGCAGAGTTTAAGAAATCTCTTTCACATCTTTGCTAAGACTTTAAAATACTTGACTTTTTATTTTGGCCAGTCTAATGTATTTGAAAGTTATCTCATGGTTTTAATTTCAATGTTCCTGATTTCCAATGAAGTTATGCATGTATTCATACATTCATTAGCCTTTCAGGAACCGTCTGTGAATTGCCTGTTCTGTTTCTTTCCCATTATTTATTTAGTTTTTAATAGTATTTATAGATTTTGATTATTTAGGTTTTAGTATTACCTATAGATTTTATTTTAGAATTCTAGATACAAACACTTGCTGCACCAGGTGAGTAGCTTGTATTTTTAACATTGTTTCTGATGTCTTTTGTTAAGCAGAAGGCTTTCGTTTTGATATAATTAAATCATCAGTATTTTATTTGATGGTTTGTGCTTTTTGAGATATTTGAAGGAAATCTTTCTCTATAAATCAATAAGAAAGAGACAAGCAATCCAATAAAAATGGCCAGAAGATATGAACAGGCAGTTCATAGGGGAAAAAACACAAATGACCAGTTAACATATATATAAAGTCTCATTAGTAATCAAAGAAATGCAAAATAAAACTACAATGAGATACTATTTAATATCATTTAATACCTTTTTACATTTGGCATACATTTAAAGGCCTGACAATGCCAAGTACTGGTGAACGTATGGAACAGTAAGAATTCTTTAATATACTGCTGGGTGAATATAAATGAGTATAACCACTTTCAAGAACATTGTGGTGTCAATGTATGGCAAAAACCACTACAATATTGTAAAGTAATTAGCCTCCAACTAATAAAAATAAAAGGAAAAAAAAGAACATTGTGGCAATACTCAGTAAAATGAAAGATGCTCAACACTGTAGGTCAGTAATCCCACTTCTTAGTATCTATCCTAGGGATACTTTTACACATACACATTAGGAGATGTTATAAGGATGCTCATAGTAGCATTGATTGTGAACAACATACATGTTCATAAGCAGGAGAATGGATAAAGCATGGCGAATTCATAAAATAGAATATGATATGGAAGAAAAAATGAATGAAACAGAACTACAGGTATCAACATGGATGAAACAATGTTGAATGAAACATGTTTTGTTTGAGACTTTGGGTTTCAGTGCCAACATGGAAACTGCTTAGAAGTCATCACTACTGTCTTACAACAGGAAGAACAGCTGAACAGACTAAAAAATCAATGAATTTTCTTGGATTCATCAGAGATTTGAAGTCAGAGAGCAAACTGCAACCTTGAAATCTGGAGAGACAGTCAATTACAAAGAATCACTTCCCAGATCTGCTTATCAGAAGCAGAAAGCACTGAGCCATAAGTTGGTAGGAACACATAAGTGGTAACTTTGACAAATTGCAGGAAACAGTATAGATTAGTGTTTGAGTAATAAACTTCTGGGGGCCACAGTCTAAGGGGGCCCCCACATTTTCATGACTCTTACCTCCAGGAACCCCACTGGGTTCTCATTGTAAAGAGCCAAGAATAAGTCTTCTGTTTCTGGCATGTTGATAGGAAAAAGAATCAACTTGAAATACATCCAGAGCTTCTACCTAACAGAGAGCTATCCAGCAAGTAAAACAACTTAACCAAAGCCTTCTCTAGTATGGGAGAAGGAAAATTACTGAACTCCAGGCCCCTCTAGTCTTACTGTCATCTACGAGAAAGAGAATAAAAGCTGTGAAATACTTGTGAAGGTTACAGGCTGGATACATGGGCACAGTAAATGCCTGAGACTTGTCAATGTATGGCAAAAACCACTACAATATTGTAAAGTAATTAGCCTCCAACTAATAAAAATGAATGAAAAAAAAAAAGCCTGAGACTTAATTATAAGATGCAGAATGTTTTCCCATACCCTGCACCTTACTACCACATCAACAGGTCTTCAGTATGATAACTATGAATTATAACTGAAGAACCTGCAAGGCTCAAACTCTAAAATGTTTTTAGGGAAACTCAAAGAAAACAAGGGAGACAAAAACAAGGGTATTAGAGGAAACTGAAAAACCTCTGATACCTGCAGCTAAAGCAAACATTAAACACAGCCCAACTTCTAGCCATATTAACATAAAACCTCACATGAAGGGCCTGTTTATCTCAGTTTCTACTGTGTTACATATAATGTAACAAAAAAGAAATGATTTTTTTCCTTTCAACAAAAAAGAAGTGATACAGCTTACCAAAAGCTAAACCACAGTCTCAAGAGACAAAACCAACATCAGAACAAAGTTCAGATATGACACAGGTTTTTAAAAAATAGCTATAACTAATATGCTAATGAGTCTGCTAGAAATAGTTTACAACATGCAAGAACAAATGGATAATATAAGCAGACAGAGAAACTCTAGAAAGTGATGTAAGAAATCAAAAACAGTGTAACAGAAACGATGCCTTTGGGAGTTCCCTGTGGCCTAGTGGTTAGGATTCTGGGCTTTCATTGCCAGGTTCAATCCCTGGTCAGGGAACTGAGACTCTGTAAACCATGTGACATGGCCAAAAAAAAAAAACAGTGCCTTTGATAGGCTCATCAGCAGACTGGATACAGAAGAGGAAAGATTATAGCTTGAAGACATGTTAATAGAAACTTTCCAAACTGAAATGCAAAGATTTAAAAAAAAGACTTTAAAAATGTAACAGAATATCCAAGGACAATTCAGAAGGTGTACCATGCACATTGTTGGAATATTGGAAGAAGGAAGGAGCAGAAGGTGAAAAAAAGAAATATTTGAAGTAAGAATGACTGAGAATTTCCCAGAATTAATGACAGATACCGCATTACAGATCCAGGATCCAAGCAAAGAATACAAAGTAGGATAAATACCAAAAAAAAAAAAATTTAAGCATATCATGTTCAAACACAGAAAACTGAAGACCAAGAGAAAATCTTGGAAACGGCCAGAGAAAAACTCTTTACCAATAGAAAAATAAAGATAATAATCACATTGGATTTCTCCTCAGAAATCATGCAAGCAAGAAGAGAGTGGAGTAAAATACTTAAAGTGATGAAAGGGAAAAATAC